CACCCAATTTGTTATTTCACGCCGCATGTAAGTTTGTTCAGTTTTTTTTTTTTTTTTTTTTTTTCTCTCTCTCTCTATCATTGGCTGCAGACGGCAGTGAAGACTCGATGCAGCGGCATGCACTTCATCGTGGCCGAGTGGAACACGTCGTCCATCGAGTTCTACAAGCGGCGCGGAGCGGCTGATCTCTCGCACGAGGAGGGATGGCATCTGTACGAGATCGACAAGTGCAACCTACTCAAGATGTCATCCAAGTAGACGCCAGTGCGGGAGGAGACGTTCCATAGAGGAGGATCATGATTACAGCTGTTGTGTAGTCTATTGATCACACCTGCAATGTATCGGTCAATAAATAAAGATTATACTCTGAGAAACCGACTGAGTGAAAGCTCTGTTGGATCAATGTTAACCCTGTTGTCCCCTGTTAAAGAAACACTCAAATTTTTTGGTTCATTACCTCAGGATTTTTGCTTTAAAATATTTCATTATTTGCATGTTGACTTTAGACTTCTCTTTAGCGGGCGAAGTTATACTTTATTATAATAAGGTAAAAACCAGTAAGTGCGACAATGACTCTGTTTAGGAAGTGATTTAATTGTTTTCTGCTGTTTGGAAACAACCTGACGTCTGAAACTAGGCTTAACTCGTTCAGAGATTGTTTAACTGCTGCAGTTGCATTTTTATTTTTTCTTAGTGTTTGCGCAGGAAGAGGAAGTTCAGACTGAGAAACTGTGCTGACATTAACATGTAAACCCCAAATGAAGTTAACATTTCCTCTTTGCACCCTACGCAGTATATGCATACAATATATAATTGCATATGTATACAATCATTTCAGTCAGAAATCACACCATCACATTTATTTTTGATACACTGTTTTTAATACAATCCCAGTCGTTTGTTTTCAAATTCAGAACTTTCCAGTCAAGCCACTAACTCCCGTCTGATGATTGACAGATGAAAGGAAGTGGCTAGTGCAAAAGCAGGTCATGAAGGGATGGAGATCCTGCATCAAAACCTCACTGTCAGAGAAACGACTTGAGAGACGATGGTGCACCTGTAAACAAACAACACCGCAAACCACAGTCATGAGGACTTCTGAGAAAAAGAATGAGTGGCATATTTAATCTGTAAAACACACACACACACACCTACCTTAATGCCATTGCATTAGATTGCAAAATATATAAAATATATTGTAAATTATATATTAAATATATAATTTAAAATATATTTTATTTAAGATGACACTTGGTTTAATATTTTGCAATCTAATGCAAATAAAGATTTCCAGTAAAACAAAATAACTAAAGCAAAAGATTAAAAAAATAGGACAAAAAAGGTGTTTTGTTTGTTTTGCATCGACCTTCAAAAAATAATATTTTATTTTACTTTCACAGCAAACATTTCTAATGCGCGATATTAAAATGTCTGAATGTCATTGCATTAGGTAACAAAATATTAAACCAAGTAACATATATTTTAAATATTTCAACAAAGCAACTAAAGCAAAGCATTTAACAAAAAAGTGATATTATTGGATGACGTTGCTTGTTAATGTGCTCCTCTACACCTGTGCTTCATCTGCTGGACACCTGTGTGAACTTGAGGACTTCATTCACAAAAAAAATGCATTTTAGTGTGCAGCACTAACCAAAAAATCTAACAGGTTTTATGTGAAAAAAACAAAAAAGGGTTTGTTATATTATGACTATATTAATGTTATTTATGCACTGTGTGCACCTGTGTTGTGTTTCTCTGCTGTTCATGATGTTTGATATTTTGTACCTAAGCTTTGGTCTCCCCGCTTGAACTCTTTTCTGCTTGATCCTATTAAAACACAAAACAAAAAGTGCTCAGGCTGTTTCCAAACACAATATTTGCAGTATTCTAATGCTTTCTGTAGGTCAAACAGTAGAGGCTGTGGGTATGATTCCTAATGCAAAAAATGCAAACCTTGAATGCAATGTAAAATGGCTTTGGATAAAAGCATCTGGCAAATGCATGAATGTAAAGTCTGTGTGAGAAGAGCCAGACTCACTTTCTTTGAGGCAGGTTTGACCTTGATGAGTTTCTCCCCAGCAACATAAGCCTGAAGCGCCCAGTCGTATACGGCATCTCCTGTGTTCTGTGGTGTGGAGAGATTAGAAAGGGTCACTTCAGTGAAACGCGACGTTCACACACACATACTGAGATTAGTTTTTTTGCTGGAAGTACATGTATTTGTCAAAGTGCGTGTTTCTACTGCTGAATGCCCTCATGTTATTGGTGGGCTACACAACTGCTTATAGCGTTTGGAAATCTGGTCTTAGATATGATGCACTGCCAGTAAAAATAATCAATATTTTTGTTGCTTTATGCTTTTCAGCAGCACATAATGCATGATGTTATAATATATATATATATATATATATATATATATGTAGAGTTAAGAAAAATAATCAATATTTTTGTTGCTTTATGCTTTTCAGCAGCACATAATGCATGATGTTATAATATATATATATATATATATATATGAAGAGTTAAGATGCAAAAGCCTCTAAGTGCCATCTGAAATTTTCATCTAAAATGATCATTTTGTATCAGGCTCCTATGTTTAGGTTCAGTAATTTTACTCTAATGGCAATGTATAGGTCCTTTTCTACGCAATTAAAGAGAAATAGCTGAACATAAATATAGGAACCTGATAAAAATGATCATTTTAGAAAAAAATTTCAGATGGCATTGAGAGGCTTTTGCATCTGAACTCTTCATACACACATATATATATATATATATATATATATATATATGTTTT